CCCCAAAACCCCAAAACCCCAAAACCCCAAAACCCCAAAACCCCAAAACCCCAGTATATTTATATATTATTGATATCTAGAATGTCTCAGAAAAGATGAATTACAAAACTTTAGGAGATCTTTAGTGTTTTGAGAACAGATGGGATCATCTCAGGACCTGGAACCCGAAGGACCATTAGTGCCTCCTTCTTTCACCAGATATATACTAGTTGGTCCTTAATGTAATAATGGCTAGTAATCCCGAGATGATCTTCTTTAGTTTCAATTATAGGGAATTCTTTTTCTCTTTCTGGAGGTCTTGGGATCATATTTTCTCCTAAATCATAAACAGAAGCATCAATAATCTCATGAGGCTCTGGTTGATCAAAAGTTGCCAATTCTTTGTCCTTATTTTTATATTTGAATCCTCTCTCATCATATCAATCAGCAAGACCATGCTTCTCAAGGTTTACTATATCATCATCAAAGTCAGTGAGCTCATCATGGTTGGTATAGAATAAACCCATTCACTTGGCTTTTGGGTTTATTTCTTTATCAGATTCTCCAAAGATGATAAAATCTTTATCGCTAATCATATTAATATACAGGTTTGTCTTAGGAAGTTGGGAATGACTATAGCTGAGTACTTCCCAAGCTATTATATCATCAGACCTATTTTAATTTAATCCTTTGCACAACAAACTCAGTATCCTTCTTAGATTTATTTTAAACTGGGATTAGTATCCAATTTCTCCCCTCCAAAGGCATAAAGATAGTCCTGCTTATGGAAATAGAACAAAGATAGATTGACCCTCTTGTCTTTATCTTTGCAGAGTTGGGCTTTCATTTTCTTCCAACTGTCTTTCTGGACATGGTATTTCTCAGTGGTAACATATCCATTCTTAGCGTTAAATCCTCCTATTGCGTATATAAATGGCTTTTTCCGTCTCTCGATCAGAACTGCTTTGTGGAACCCAATCATTGAAGGCTTATCCTCTAATCTAGTAAACCGATCAGTTCGAGCATCGTATAATAAGACGATATTCGAGGTATTCGAGATCAAATACGCTCTTCCATCTCCATATTTCTCAGAGCCTGGACCTTGGAAAGCAGCTATGCAAAAGTCTTGAGGTATTAAGGAATATAGATAGCTTTGTTCATCATCTCCTACAGATGCAAACTCTCTTGTAAAGAACTGTCCAGGGAACACATCCTTCTTGCTCTGCTTCAGAGGGTTATTTACACACCCAGACTACTGCAAATGGGTTCTTTTTAGCACTCTCAGTGATGCCTAAAGAAACAATTATTTAAACTAGAATTAAATCCTAACCCAAAGCTGCTGAGCTAGGTTTTGGCTATAAATTCTTGGATTTTCTTAATAAAATTCTTAAGCAGAAAGAAAGATCTGTAGTATTATGAAGGCTACTTTTAATCAGCCAGGGTCAGAATACGTAGAGCTTTAGAGAGAAAATACTGTTTGTATTTATTAAGCTTACCGTTGTAGATATTGACAAAGAGAAACGGAGGCTCCTTTTCCTCTTCCTCTTCACTCTCATATTTGATAACTTCTGAATCTACTGATGAACCTGGGCTGGATATAACTAGGTCAGAAATTGGAGTTATGGCTTCTTCTATCTTAATAAACTTTGATTGCTCTAGATCCTGAGGAGTCTTTGTTTCTTCCATTTTATTTATATTTTTGATCGGTAGTTTTTTATAAAGATGATTAAGGGGTTTTGGGGTTTTGGGGTTTTGGGGTTTTGGGG